CATTTAGCTATTTAAAGTCCCGAATAGATTCATATGATGTATTATGACCTGTGTGAAGCGTCGGTTTTGATTTTTCAGGTGATTCGAAATTTATTTGGAAGAATGATTCTCAACTAGGAAGCTTTAAGTTATAAGAGTTGACCAAAATTGACTTTTGAGTATTTGACCCCGGAATAGATTTTTGATGGTTTTGTTACCTTCATATGGTGATTTCGGACAAGGGTGTATGCCCGGATTTTAAATTGGAGGTCCCAATGTAATTTGGCGTAATTTTTTGAAAAATTGTTAACTTTGAAAAGCTTTGAATTTCAAAATTTGGCCATAATTGAATTTTTATTGATACCGGGTCCGGATTTGGATTTCGAGAGTTCAAGCAGCTTTTATTATAATATTTATGAGTTGTGTGCAAAATTCGAAGTTATTCCGAGGTGCGTAGGCACGTTTTTTGTTAGTTTTTGAAACATTAAAAGTTTTGATTTTATAAAGCTTGAATTCGTTGCGATTCGTAGTTTTGATGTTATGTTTGTGGTTTGATCACTCTAGCAAATTAGTATCATGTTTTAGGGCTTGCTGGTATATTTGGTTGGGATCCCGTGGGGCTCGGGTGAGTTTCGGATGGGTTTTTAACGTGTTTGGTGTTTTGGCATTTTTTTTATCATAAGCATATAATGATCCAAAGGTCCATTTTTAGTTCTAGAGATCAGAATTCAATTTCGAGACATCCGATAGTTTGATAATGATTTATAGGAATGATCTAGAATGTTTGGTCTAATTTTATTAAGTCGCGTCGGGTTTTTGCTGCGAAGCATGAGTTAATTATTTAACGAGCGAAGTTGGCATCGCATTGAGCATATGAGCTCCTAATTGAGTTTCGACTGAACGATTAGGTTCGTATTATTATTTGTGAATTAGGTACAAGAATCGTCGAATTCCGAATTCGTATGAGGTAGTTAGAGTCTTTTTAGTGAAAAATAAATTGCTGGTGCAAGCAAGTTCTGGTGCGTACCTTTAGCGACCAGATTTGAAACTTTTAGCGACCAAATTTGGACTTTTAGCGACATATTAGTGTTTTTATTGGGCAGATTTTTTTATAAACTCATTTCAATATTTTTGGAGTTAGGGAACTCGGATTTAGGTGATTTTTGAGAGGATTTCTACCGTATGATTTGGGGTAAGTGTTCTCTAATAGTTTTTGATTATATTTCATGAATCTATTATCGTTTTTGGCATTTGGTTGATGATTTCAAAAGAGAAATTTGGGGGGGGNTGAAACTAGTATGGTGGACTAGTAATTGAAAGGATTGTCGGATTTTGTGAGTTTTGTTGGGTTCCGAGGTGCAAGCCAGGGTTTGACTTTTTGGTTGACTTAGGATTTTTGATTAATAATTCGACCTTTATCGATTGTGTTTGTTTCCTTTAGCATTATTTGTTGTTCTTGAGTTTCTTTTGGATAGTTTTGAGACGTTCGGAGGTCGGTACGCGTGAGATGGCATTTTTGGAGTATCGTTTGGCTTGCTCGGTATTGGATTTGGCTTGTTCGAGGTAAGTAACACTTCTAAACTTGGTGCTGAGAGTATGAACCTCTAAATATACGTGATATGTGTTTGGTGTTGAGGTGACACACATACTAGGTGACTGGCCTGTGGGTGTGCACCGTGTAAATTATGACTTGGATATTTCTGTGGTACTGTGTAGTTACGTAATCTTGTTTTTATCCATGAGATTTCTACGTGTTAGAGTAATTGAGTTGTGATCCATGTTAGAAACCATATTTATGCTATATGCTTATTCTGTTAGAACCCACTGAGGTCATATCTGTTGTGGAGTTATTTGCTTAAATTTCAGTTACATACTTAGTCATACTCACTCATTTGTATATCATATTTCAGTCTCTGTTGCTATTTATTGATACATGATATCATCATTTTTCGGTTGATTTTCATGACATTGTGAGCCCGAGAGACTGGAGAGATTGATGATTGAGTGAGGCCGAGGGCTTGTTTGTGAGTGATATTTATGGGATCGAATTACATGCCACAACAAGCTTTATTAATTCATGCCATGATTGTCTTATTATAGCACTTGTGCTAGATTTGTCCCTCCAGAATCTTCACACCCACAGTGAGCACAGATACTTACTGAGTGCGAGTGTCGAGCGCGAATGCCGAGAGCGAGTGCGGGTGTCAAGCGTGACTGCGAGAGCGAGTACCGAGTGATTGGGAGGAGTGAGTGACTGTGAGGACTAAGTGGCTGGGAGGACTGAGTGAATTGATACTCTGAGAGTATACATATGGTTTTATCACTGAGTTGCATTACATTCGACATGCACACTTGGTATACATGCATAGAGATACATTTTCCTCATGATGTACAGTATTGCATCATTTATGACTTCACATACACATTGACATGTAAGTATATAGATGAACTTTCCTCATACCATTTGATAATGAAACATCTTACGTGTTGTTGAAAGTTTTTGGGAAAAATCACAGTTTTTCAGATTTACTCATATTATGGTAATTTCAGTAAAAGATTTAGGTTTTCACTGATATACTTGAAAAGCATGCCTATTTTTCGGGACTGTGAACGAGCTGAGCATTATACTTATGAGTTATTTCTGGTACCACTTTTATTATATTGTTATGAGCTGTTGTTGGCTATTGGTGTTGGACTCTGACCTTTGTCCCAGCTCGTCACTACTTTCAACCTAAGGTTGGGTTTATTACTTATTGAGTACATGTAGTCAGTTGTACTCATACTACACTTCTGTACCTTGCATGCAGATTTTGGATGCTGATGTTGTTGTGTGTGGCGGGAGCTGGAATTGAAGATGTGTCTGCGTTCCTGTCATAGCTGCCTCTTATTCTTGGTAGCTTTAGCATTTTTAATATGTTCATGTAAATTTCAAAACAGATGATGTATTTATTTCATACCACCATTGTATACTCTAAATCTTAGAAGCTCATGATTTGTACTACCAGTCTTTGGGAAATCTTTGTATAGAAGTTCAGTTATATTATCATTTCATTTATCGGTAAATCTCATTAGTATTGGATTTTTTGTTAAATTGGCCTACCTAACGAGTTGGTTAGGTGCTATCACGTCTAGTTGGATTTTGAATCGTGACATATATAATATATAATATTTTATAAATTATTTTTGACTGATTAACCAAATATGTTAAAAGCCTGCAACCAACTATTTAAGTTAATTTCTCAAAATTAATTAAATATACACCCTCTTCTCTTTATCTCAAATTTCCACAAGGAAAAGTGAAAAGTTATCCACAACATGATAAACAGTAGATTAGGTCCACCTTTTGAAAAGAATGTGAGATATTGACGGTTCTAAATCTGTAATACCACTTCGGATTGGGATAATGAGCTTAAAAAAAATTAGAGTAAGAATTATATACATAGCTCGAATTTAGTATAAATAAATATTATTTACAATTAGAAATTATATAGAGTTAGAGTAAAAAAAATAAATATTTTACATTCGCTCCCTTTATCACGATAACTCACTTGTAATCGTTGCTCTTTTAATACAATCAAGTTTTAATTTAATTTTTTTTTGCATGCTATTTTCTTGACATTGACCCGTCACTCTAAGGGGTCGTTTGGTAGAGTGTATAAGAATAGTGCGAAATATGGTGTATTAGTAATATAGGGATTAGTAATGCATGGCTTAGTAATGCAAGCATTAGTTATGCAGATATTATTTCTTATAAACTATTTGATGTGGTGTATTAAAAATTATAATGTATTGCATAATGTTTTAGAAAAATAGTTGTTTACAAAAATGCCCTCCATATTCTCTAGCTTTAAGGGGTTTTTAAGATAATTTTATCTTTAACCATACTAATGCATGCATTAATAGCCTTGGTATTACTAATGCCATAATTTTCTATGCATTACTTATACATTGGCTAATATCAAGTATGATGTATAACTAATGCAAGTATTAATTATACACAGATTGAAAAAATATACCAAATAAAATATTAGTAATGCATAAAGCTAATGTTTGCATTATTTTTTCTAATACCTCCTACAAAACTACCCCTAAGTGTATCGCTCTAATATTCAAACTTATTGTCTTGAGGGCGACCTAGCAAACACCCTATTCTCATTTAATCACTCAACTAGAAGTTCCATTCTTCCCTTGTCTTCTTCCTCCAATATATTCAATTCACTTCACCCTTGCTTGCACTTAATGGATTCCAATCATGGCAGACATTCTAACTTAATGAACTGAGGCAACCTAGTGGACAATCGATTGACAGAAAATGACCACGAAAATTAGTTGCTTTTTTCCTTCTCCCTTCTAAGATATTCGAAGAGTAATAAATATTTTCATTGAACAATAAATATTTATACATACTCAATATTTATATCACGCCAAGTAATTTTATATTAGCAGTTAAAAATTAAAGTAAAAATACAAATCATCAATGATATAAAATACACATATTTAATATTTATTTATTTGATGTAAATAACAAGTGAAAATAAATGTTTAACCCACTCAACATAGTGAACCATTTCACTTTTCCCTTTCTCTCACTATATCATGGATATCCCTGTATATAAAGAATCAAATGAATAGAGTACATGGTATTTATATGCTCTTTCAATCAATCAGCTTCTAAAATCAGCTTATTTTAAAAAGTATTTTTTTTCAAAATTAATTTTCAAAAAAACACTTTTGTTGATAAGTAAATTGTGATTGACTAACTAATTTAAAAATCACTTTTGAGTAATAATTAGTATTTGACCAAATTTTAAAAAATACTTCTAAGTGTATTTTTGTTAAAATGCTTTTCGAAAAATTACTTTTCGAAAAAACTACTTTTTTCTGTTTTTCAAAAGTTATTATCCTTATACTTAAAAGTTCTTTTTTTTTTGTTCTAAAATCTTGATCAAACACCTTAATTTAAAATTAAAAAAAAGTATTTTTAATATTAAAAAGAAATTGCCAAACAGGCTATTAACTATTCAATTAATTGCGCACCCTTCTTGGCCGTAACGTAGGAGAAGAAAAATCTAAACATGCAATTCATTTTTCCCTCCTAATCAAATTCCCAATACTATGGCTAATTTACACAGAAAATCAGTTTCCCCTCCATCTTCAAACCCTCTCTTCTCCACTATCATCACTCTTTACACTCTCATTCTTCTCTACTTCCCCACCAATTACCAAACAATTCTTTTCTCTCCGGTTTTCCTTTCCACTTCACTTCTTTTACTTTCCCTTCTAAGACTTGGTCAAACTCAGAAAACTAACAAAGAGGATAATTACCAAGGAAAAGAAAAGAAACCCAATTCAGAGGAATTCATTTCCACCCAAAAATCATCATCACTGGTTTCCCGGGTTGACCCGAACCCGAATCCGGTTCCATTACTAGTTTCGGGTGATCATGATTACACATGTGTTTCACACGAATCCAGTGTGCACCTCAAAACCGAGCAAGACCCGGATCTTGGCACGAACCCGAACTTTAACCCGAAACCCGATACGTTTTACGCAGAATCATTCGTTGAATGGAACGTGAGAGCTCCATTGGAGGTGATTCAAGAGGAGTATGAAGATGAGAAATTCTACTACACGGATACGGATATGGACACGGGTGCCAATACTTCGTCGGGCGGGGAATCACCGGTTATCGGAAACTGGGACTCGCCGGGGAATTTGTGTTTCCGGTGGGAGGAAGAAGATAGGGAAGGATTAATAGAGATTGAATTGGACGGGAAGAGGAGTTGTGAAGCTGAAGAAGAGAATTTGATCGAAATTGATCTGACTCCGTCGAATTTCCCGGGAGATGACGTGGCAACTCATAGGACGATGGTACGATGATGTTTTAGAAACAATTAACTTTGTTTTCCGTAGAAGATTTAAATTATATGCGTTGATAATGTAAAATGTTTTTGCACCACAAACTTTAGTTTAATAATTAAATAATTATTTATTTCCTTTCTTTTGTTTTTCTTTCTTTCTCTTACTTTTTTCCTTTTCCCCGTGGTAATGTATGGTTGGACTTGTTTACAAAGTGAAGAGCATGTAATTTGTTACAAATTTTCAACCTTAACAAGCCAGCATATCAGTTTTAATTTGAATGGAAAAAAGTAAGCTTATAAATACATAATAGTATATTTTATTTATTAATCTCACATGTTATATTTTATTAATCTTTAATTAAAAATACTTATTAGAGGCCCTATAACCAATCTCCTCCACTTATCAAGGGTTTAAAAGTATTGGGCAAATTCATATTTATAAAATAAAACAGTCCTAGTTCAGCTCGAGAAATTTAGATACTAAACATGGAATTTTGGTGTCACATGTAGAAATTACAGGAAATTTCGCATTGATTAGCTAATTCAAATATATATGTTTTTTCGCTTAAAATGTTTTTCGTCATACACGTGGATGTTATGTAAGATGAATTGTTGAAATAATAGTGTACTTAATATTTCCGCAACCAAATTTAGCATTTTCTAGTCTTATATGCCTAATGAGTTTTTTCCCCCCTCATTTAGACAAAATAATTTATATGACTTTGATACAATAAACTGAAAGGATGATGATTATCGGTGGAATTAACCTATCTAATGACCATGATGATCATTCGTGAAATTAACCTATCTACAATAACAACGACAAGTGGAGTTTGAGGTAAAGGTAATGTGCACCTACACCTTACCTTTACCTTGTAAAGGTAAGAAAACTGTTTTCGATAAACCCTCGACTCAAGGGATAGTGAAAGGGAATCAACAAACAATAACAACAAAGTATTAAGAAAACATAAGTGAATGACAAAATTAACCTATCTAATGAGAGACAAACCTAAAATATCTCGTATTTATGCAGGGTCCCGAAAAAAGTCTTATTCCAAGCAAATAAAGAAGATACGGAGTATTAGCAGGAAAAAGTTGATATTTTGTTGATTTTTCCTCTTTTATTCCTTTCAATATAGGAGAAGAACTGAGTCAGCTACTATTCAAAGGCTGGAATTATAGGTGGAAGTCGGATTCATCCCATTGAAGGACAGCAGATTCCAAATTCTGTTCTCTCTTTAGCTTATCTTTCAAAAACCAATCACATATCCTACCAGCATTTAATTCCTCAATTGAACAACCTTCTTGCTCTGCTATCACTCTTAGTAAATTCAGTGACGATATCTGCACAATACAATTGTATCGATTATATTTACAAAAACGTAAGAGCCTCTTCTTTTACAAAATTTCAACAAAATTGTGTGACTCATCATATTTTTCTTGTAGTTTGAATTTACTCCCTCCGTTCACTTCTACTTGTCCATTGTTCACAAACCTATTCCCATCCCAAAAAAATCTTAAAACAATATAATAACGAGTTTAATTTTTATAACCTTTTTACGCCATGAGGTTAAGATGATATACACTAGCAACATGTTATTGACTGTAATAATCACACATAACTTGGTAATATAAAAAATAAAGCAAATCAAATGTTATAACAAGCTCGAATACACTATATAATGTAAAATTAATTGTACTATCAGTATATATAAGTTAAATCCATAACGTACCGTCAATCGACATAGAAAACGTTCGTGAGTGCTGAGACCAGACATTTCAACAAGGCCAGCTTCTTCTAGTGTCAAGAAACTACGCCTTTCCCCACCACTACTTCCTCTCACTACCATCTGCTTTCTTCTATTTTTATGAGCAATTTTTAATGATTCTGCAAAATTACCATTTGCAGTTACACATTTGGAACTTAATGAAGGTACTAATTGATGGTAGTTTTCTCCACAAGTTTTGAGCACATTCATTGTTTGGATAATGGGGGTACAAAAATCTTACTGTGTTTATTTCTTCTTCAATGGCTACACCTAATACATGGGTGGATTATTCTATCCCTATGGCTTTCTTTTTTGTGTGGTTTAAAATTGCCACATTTGGATGCTTCTGCATTCCCTCTACAATTTGGCTAACCAAACACCCAAGTCAGGCCCAATAATTTTATCTGATTGGTTATGTTTGCCTAGATATACTAGGCCCAAATCTTATATGCCTTTATATTTAAAGAATTAACCCAAATAGCTGCTTTATCATCTAATCTCTTAAATTAAAAATAGCCGATGGATGTATAATATATATATAATTCATGTATAATATGTATATAACTATATATAATCAATGTATAAAGGTTAAAAAATGAATAGTGAATCTGATTGGCTATTTGTATAACAATCCCTTTATATTCATTGAAATCGAATTCCGGAAAGTGCTAATTGTATAAATGTTAGAACACTTAATGTTACAGAATCTAAGTTAAATGCTGAACTAAGACGAATTTAAATGGTGCAGCGTGAATAATGATGATTCATATTGTCGATCTTAACTAATTTGTGATAAAGCATATTTATCGTTGTGTCACAATTTGCAAGTTTGACCTCAATATTTGACATATGCATATTGATCCTTAGTATAATTACATATTCAAGAACTTCACGGGGCGTGGAAGCACATAAAATTGTCATTTAAAAGCCATTCAATATTTTTATCCTTTTGTTTGTTGTTTTTTTAAGGTGTTATCTCCTCATAGTAGCTAGATCTATATTTCATGACATATTCGGAATTTTGTTTTCTGTAAAGTTTTCTTGTAAGCTGCAAAGCAAAACACAGTTTACATGAGGGTCCTCTCTCACTTTAGCTTGAACTAATTCAATAAAAGTGATTAATGACGTTAGATAGGCAAATTAAAGATAGAATAAACGACCAAACCAGTAGCAATGTTGGATCTGGGAACGTTTATATGCTTAACAAGTAACATGCCCTCGATTCGGAGCCAAACACTTATGAAGGGCTATGAACAAAACTAAGAACTTAGAATAATCTTTAGAAGTAGAGTAAACAAAATGTATATTGCCGTAATATGCGTGCTATAGTGTCCCTAATGAATAATCAGCTTCCTCTTTATATAGTAGAGGAGTTTTACCCTAAGTACAATTCTAAAAGAGGTAAAAATCTTCCTTTTCTCTAATCACTGATCTACAGCTGATATGGGCCGGGATTCACGGTGTGATATCCGGTTGGACACAGCTATCACGACCCTTTGTTAATCATGCGCGATCGTTTGGTAATGCTCTCTGAGGTCTTGTAACTCAAACTGGACCCGGGGCGTGGTCTCGATAGCTCCGATGGCAGGTGTTTTGCTCGAGCCTTGATGCGAGAGGCTCCTGGCTTCAATTTTGATTCCTTACAATCATGTCCTTGCTTCATTTGCCTCACCGGGAAATCGGGGTTCTCATTAGCCTCGATTTTACCCGTATATAGATAGTCCTCTCATTTCTCAGATAGTAGGTTTGCCAAAATGATGAGAAATGACAGATGTTCTCTGGTTCCTTCCTCTATATATTACGACGAATAAGCCGAAACGTCACATCAGTCGTGTCGTTCTGACTTCGGACACGTATCAATTATCGGATGGTTGCCCCTGAATGCGAAGCGTCGCCTACTTTCCTATAAAAGCTTCCATCATTTGTTATTTTTCTACTCTTCGACCAAGCTTTTACCTTCGAGGTTCCCAGCTACCGGCGGATTTAAAAAACCTCGCGAATTGACTTAGGTTACAGGTGTCTTTCAAACCTTCATCTTTTGATCTTCAAATCTTCATAATAGTTCTTAGATTCTTGCCCATATCTTCTTAAATTCTTCATATCCCGCTGTTCAGCCTTCAAACTTGTTCTTCCAAACCTCAATACTTCTTCTTCAAATCTTCAAATTTTACCAGCCAACAATGGCTAAAACTTCCAAGTCAGTTCCCCAACAGGATGCCTCTTCATCTTCCCAACCGGCCGCTGGTACTAAGGCGGTCAATCCTAAAATAGTTGTCCTCGAGGCGGCTGCTCCCGACGTGGGTGCCACCGAGTCGACAACGGCTGAACCAGCTCCCGAGCCCCTTTTGAAAATGTTGTTTCCGGGTTGTTCTATTGCGGATGACTTCAAGGTTGAGAAACCCTCGTCCAAGCAGGACCGGGGTGAAGGAGCATCAAGGTACATATGCTCCCTGACCGAAGACGTCCTTCCCGTGATACGAGAGGACTATAATTGGGGAGGTAAGGACATGGTAGTCCACGGGCCCGAAGACGCTATTACTACCCACGTTGAGGGGTACTTAAATGTTTACACTTACCCCTTCACGCTAGGCCCGGTGGACCCAGTTGTTTTAGATTTTTGTAAGAGATACGAGGTGTTCCTGGGGCAAATCCACTTGTCTCTATGGAGGATCGTGATCCTCTTTCGCTATTTCATGAATAAGACTGAGTCTCGTAGGTTCATCATCGATCATCTACTCCGTTTATACGGTCCCCGAATCATTCGAGGGGGACTAATCAAGCTTACTCGTCGGCCAGCAAGGCCCCCTTTTTGAGCGTTGATGAAGACCGAGACCAGGGCTGGCAGGGACACTTTGTTCGGGTAAAGATCGAAGACTTTATTCCTCCCGAGTTCATGCCATTCCTTGAGAAGTGGAATGCATCTCGCAAGTGCAGCCTCTCCTTAAGCGTTAATTTTTCTTCATTTTCTTTCCATTCATTCACTCTTGTGATTGTACAGCTATTGCTCGGGTTCCAAATGTGGTCCCCCAGCTTAAAGAGTAGATCTAAGTCATTTGCAAGCAGATGTCATACTTCGAGCGCTTATGGCGCAAGTTGTCGAAGGCCCGCTGGGAGGACCGTTCTCATGGTAAGGTTCCCCTTCAAATAGTTGTTATCATGTCTTTAGTTCACAACATACAGACTTCTCTTCTCTCTTTCTCTTTTTCTTTTATATAGGTTTTCCTAAGACCATCGAGCTTAGGCATTTGGAAGGGGACGAGGACGTATCCGTTGATCCCTCTGTTACGGGACAGCCCGGGGCTGCCGCGGGGGAAAAGAAGAAAAGGAAAAGAAAACTTTCGGGCTCCCCGAGCCCTAAGGTGAAACTAAAGAAGAGGGTGGATCGCAAGCCCAAGAAGAGCACCAGCTCCTGGGTGCTAGACTCCGATTCGCTTCTCCGGCTCAGAGATGAGCCGGAATAAGACGATATTTTCATTGCCCATGGATCGATCCCTCCTGGGGAGCAGGGGACAACCGAGGGGGAGACTCGTGAGGCCGACCTCCCTCGGACTCTAGAGGTCGATATAGAGATCGGGGGTGGGACCCCCCCTCGGGACGTAGACTCCGCTCCGAAGGAAGCGCCAGGTATAATAGAAATTATGGGGACGCCCTCCTATACCGAGTCCATGCTTGAGGAGGCCCAAGCAGGGAAGGAGAAATCCAATGAAGGGATCCATGGTGTGGACGATCCTCTTCATTCCTTTTTTGATGGTGTGGACTCGTCCACTTTGGAAGACTTTTCTGGGTTGGGTGACCTAGAAGTCCTTAGGAAGGATATATCATCGGAACCTAGTGGGCCGAGTTCGAGCCCAAAACTGGTTAATCAGTTCCCTGCTCCGAGTGTGGACCTCAATTGCAAGAGATCAGTTATCCTCACTGTTTCGGAGGATGCCCGAGTTTTATCCGCTCCTGTGGGAATAGCCAGTTACCTCCGATGCCTGGTGACCGAGGAGGACCAGGCAAAAATGAATGAGGTAGACGTGGCGTGTCTTTTCCACGAGGCGCAGCAGGCGCTGAAACGGGTATGGCGTCATTCCGTCTTTTTGAGTTTCACTTAGGCTTGGATATTTCTCACGACTTTCTCTGTTTTGCAGGCCTCGGTACTTCATCATGAAAGCTTCCTCCGATACCGCGTCAAGGTCAACCAGCTCGAGCTTGAGCTCAAGGAGCAGGCCCAGAAAAGGGATACGTACAAGCTCTTCAGCGAGCAACAAGACAAGGTCATTAAGGACCTTCAGGCCGAGTTAGATAGGGCTCAGAAAGAAGCATCGATCATGAGGCGCGATTAAGGGTGGCAGGTGGGTCGGACCGGGCCCGGGACCACGAGCTAAACGGGCTGGGACCGTTAGGCCCGCTAGAGCTAGTATCGTGCTGGTATCGTGGGCCTGTTCTTAGCTAGAAACTATTAAGACCGGGCCCGTTTGGCCCGCCAAGAGACCAGGACTGAACCGGTCCCTTGGCGGGCCAAACGGGCCCAACGGAGAATATTCGTTTAGCTTTTGAAAAAAAGAGTTGTTGAGGGTTAAAAAATAGCTATTGGCTATTTTAAAAATAGCCATTTAACCCCCTCC